CACTTCATCACCAATTTCAGCATCATCCATGTAGAAATCGGACACGTCAAATTTAGGCAAAATTGGATTGATATCATCAGCATAATTAGCTTCCACATTTTTCCCTTTTCCTTTTGTGGAAGCTTGGTATAATTTAACCAAATGTTTTGCCGTTCGACATTCATTCGCCCAGTGTCCTTTTATGCCACATTTGTAGCATTCACCACTTGGTTTTGGCTTTTCATGAGTTTTAGCCTGTGGTGGTTTGAATTTTCCTTTTCCTTTGAAGGATGATCCATTTGGATTTTTATAGCCCCTATTTGGCCCTTTGTTGTGGTTATTTCCGCGTCCACGTTTAAAGTGTCCGCGTGCACCACCTTGGATAACATTTGATTCTGGTGCTGAACCACGATCAGGATGACCAAAATTTGTAGGGGTACAACCTGTAGGCCTCATGTTATGATTTTTCATCAACAGCTCATTATTCTGCTCAGCAACAAGTAATACTGAGATTAACTCAGAATACTTTTTAAAGCCCCTTTCTCTATATTGTTGTTGTAATATCACATTTGACATATGCATGGTGGAAAAAGTTTTCTCCAACATGTCATGATCGGTGATATTATGTCCACATAATTTTAATGTGGACGTGACTTTAAAAATAGCAGAATTATAGTCACAAACAGACTTAAAATCTTGGAATCTTAAATTGATCCATTCGTATTGAGCTCTTGGCAATAGGACTTTTTATTGATGTCCATATCTCTCTTGGAGATTATCCCATAATTCCTTCGGATCTTCCACCAATAGATATTCAGATTTTAAACTTTCATGAAGATGGTGGCGAAGGAAAATTATGGCTTTTGCCTTTTGCTGAGATGATGATGTATTATTCTCAGCAATTGTATTTTCGAGGCCATTAGCCTTAAGGTGAGCAAGTGCATCAACCCTCCATTCTAGGTACCTTTGACCGGATAAATCAAGAATGTCGAATTCTCTTTTGGTGATGTTGGCCATGGAATAACTATAACATATTAAATTAAATTCATTAGTTTTTTTTAATAATCGTAATTTTTTTTTTGTGAACAATGTCATGATTATATATATAAACAAAATCAAAATGATTATACACACACACATATTCAATACCAAAAAGAAAAAGATAAAACAATTTCAATTATGTGTAATAATTTTTACTCTTTCATTTAAAATTAAAAGAAAAACATACTTCTTGCACTAGTGGTGAGTACGAAAAGAAGACACTCCCTCAAGAATGTTCAAAAACAAAAGGAAAAAGACAAATTAGAGACAAATTAGTGCTGATGCCATGTGAAGAAAAAATATGATGGAGAAGAAAAATAATAATAATACTCCGTAGTATGTTCCTTCAACCTTTTATTGGAGTCTTAAAATCATTCCCCTCTTTCTCTCTCTTAAGCATATATTCCGTAGAAAAAAAAATTATATGCAACAAGAAGAAAACACTACTAGAAAGTTTCAAGTAATAAATTTTAAGAAAGTTATATGCGTGGAGGGGAGTCTACCATTTATGCATAGTTTAATTTAAGGTATGTTCATAATTGAATTCTAATTTATTTTTTTTTATTTTTTTTTTAATATTTTATTTTAAAGCTACTCTGTACTAAATTCTACTTTGTTTTAATTTATCAAAAACATGATTTTATGATATTATGAGGAAATTTATTCCATTTTAATTTATCTAATTTTATTTTTTATAACTATTTCAAAGACTACACTTCCTAGGGTTGAAACCCGTTAGTGTCTCGTATGAAGAGTATCAAAAATTCTTTTATAAAATCAAACAAATACTTCTTTTATTTTATTTATATGGAAGACTCTTCTTGTTCCAAAGACCCTAAAACAGCAAACTCGTGCTGATAACGTGTTATAAAATGAGAGAAAAACTATTCAGATATTATGATAATAGATATAATATATTTCTGATTTCTTCTCTCTATTAACTTCTCACTCTTCTTCTTATTCTCAATTGTGATTACAATGCAGGGATTAAGCCTCTATTTATAGTGGAGAGGCTTGGTATGAATACAAATACAAGTGGGAAGTACTGTACATAATTGATACTCATCAATGGTTGTCTTAATCTATTATTCTAGAAAATAGGTCTGATTAATTGAATAAATGAACAATCATTATTTTCATAACAGAAACAAATTTGATTAATTCATGAGCAATCAATTTTTTCAAACTTTGAAACCCAATAAAAAATACAAACCCGAATATCATAAACAACCCTAATATCTTTTAGGCTTTTGATAATGATCCAAGATGGACAAAATTTCATTTGCAATTGGGCCTCATCGGAAGGTTCAATTTCTTCGACAGATTATGAATATAATTCGTACCAAACCCGAGCCCAGTTAGGCACTCTTATCTTCGACAGGTTCTATTACGTATGCTTATTTTTATTTAATGGGAGAAGATATTAAATTATACTCCGTAATTTTTTTTGAATGTTATTGACTCTATTATAATGTAGTATCTGTTCATGCATTTTGCAACCTAATGATTCATGATGAGCCAATGCCTCGATTTCCACTAGGGCTCAAATTTGGGTAAACATCGCCATGAATCATGGGGAAAGACATTTTACCACAGAAGCCAGGAGAGAAGTTCATTATACTCCGTTACTTTTTTTAAAAGGAAAATAACTTTTATTTGGAAGAAATAAAATGAGTAATACATCTAGGTGGAGTAGACTCCCATAATCCCGGCTGATTCACAGCACATCTAGCCAAGGTATGGGCTACGTCATTCATATCTCTACGCACAAAATTGACAGACACTTCAAGAAAAGACTTTAATGACTCTAAACACGAATCAAGAAGAGAATCCAAATAGGAGAAAGAAATAAAAGAACTCCCTTGATTGAGCGCATGAACCAAAGTTTGACGGTCAGAGAAAACTTCCACATCTCGCACATCACGATCACGAAGCCAAGATAAAGCCTCTACACATGCATATGCTTCAGCCATTAAGGGATCTTGACTTTCTGCCTTCCTCCCATTGGCTGCCGCCAGAAACTTTCCTCCAAGATCGAACAACACACAACCAAACGAAATGCCTCTCACTGAAAAATACATGCATCAAAGAAGCACCGCAAGGCTGTAGCGCGAAGCGTCCTCCCGGTCTGAAACGCCTGAGGTTGCTGGGCAGTTTCTCTCCCACCAGTCCAAGCCCTATCCGTCTACAACACCATGCATTTGGTCTCTGTGGGTAACATAACCTTCTGCTCCCAAACTGCCAAGTTACGCGCCTTCCAAATAGCTCAACAAGCCCAAGCAGTGATTCGAAGTTCTGATAGCGACTCAGTTTGACATCGAACCTGGAACCATTCCTGGAAAGAGTTAGGCAATGTGTGATTGCCGCCTTTACCCAACAGAGACCAAATCGAGCTTGCAAAAGGACAAGACAAAAAATGTGAAAAATTGTCTCCCAAACACCCCACAAAGAGGGCAACCGTCATCCACCACAACTCCCTTCGTCGAAAGAGCATCCTTATGAGACACTAGGATACACCAAAATTTCCCCCAACAAGTAAAGGAAGACCCAATATTTGCCTCTCCCATTAACTGACGGTAAGCGTTTTTCATCGTGTAGGCTCCCTTGGGGTCACCCGCCCAGTACCAACAATCTTTCCCCCTGACATTAATCAGAATCATCAAGATTTGCAAGATGTCCCTCGGCTCAAGCCATTGTTCCAGCATCTCATTATTCCACTTACTTGAGCTTGAATCAATAAAATCAACCACAAATAATCCTTCCGTTGTCATGTTTCCAGGTGAAGTTAGAAAAGGGACAGTGACATCCACGAGCCAAGGCATGCCCCAAGCTTTAGTCCCTCTTCCATCGCCAATACGACAACAAGCTCCTTTGATAATGTCTTAGGCAGCCAGGGTACTTTTTCAACAATGACTAGGAGTCCAGCCCTTCCAAGCTTTAAGAAACGAAGAATTGGGAAAATATCTAGCTTTGAAAACCCTCAAAACAAGGGAGTGTGGAATCTGGATTAGTCAGAAACTTTCATTCCTGTTTACCCAGGATGGCTATTTTAAAGGCTCGAATATTACGAAAACCCATACTTCGTGTAAATATCCAATAGTATGGTGTTATATTCCCTTTCATTTTGACAAAATTCATCTCTTTTATGTTAAATGTATAAGTTTGCTCTTAAAATTTGGCTTGTATTTATATTTTCTCTTTTGTCCATGGAAGGGTGAAATTGTCATTTTAACATAAAATGAGTGAATTTAACCAAAATGAGAATGAGTGTAACTAGCAAAACCCAATCCAATTTTTGTAAATATCAATAAAAAAAAGTGGTGTCAAAATTGGTATAAAAATAAGATACACTACCACGTTTGCTCTACATCACTCCAAATAACCGATAAGAGTATGATTGTGCCGGCAGGCGTTGCGCAGTTAGCAAAGGCAGTGAGCACCAAAAGCAGTGAGAGGCAACTATAATAAGCACGAGGGCTCTGTAAATATCAATTGCAGGCTTCATTTTCATATTCGCATGCCACCAATCTGCGATGAAAATCTAATTTATCTCTTCTCAGTAACCGTCTGTTCAGGGATGAGACTCATTATATTCTTGATAAGAATAGGATCCATCTTTTGTTTTCACCAACAGTAAGATTATAAGCTTAGAAACAATCTTGCTCAAGTTGGAAAAACTTATGTATCATTTTAGACATGTAATCTTCTAGTGCTAATCTAATGATAATCTTCTATTTAGCAACCAAAGCCTTCATCTAATGGCCGTGATCACGTTGAGCAAGATCTTCTAAAATGGTTGAACCCAACCTCCAAGATCTTCTAGTGCTAATCTAATGATAATCTTCTATTATTGGTTCAAATGGAATTGACATTTTTAGCAAGTTTAAAGGGCCAAAGCACAAACTAACTTGTTGATTGTTCCCCACTTGTAGAGTAATCTAGTTGTGAGTACTCTTCCAACCATGTTTCATGATTCCATTATTGCCCTTCAAGAACACTATGCCTTTCTCATCATCTCTGGCTGCGCCTTCATCTTTCTCGGGTGGTTTTCATGGATTCTCCTGCTCAAGAATCCAACAAGCAAGCAGCAGCCGCCGCCGCTGCCCCCAGGCCCCAAACCACTTCCCCTGGTCGGAAACCTCCTCTCCCTCCGCCCCGACCTCCATGCCCACTTCGCGGACCTGTCCCAAGTCCACGGCCCCATCTTCACCGTCTGGCTCGGCAGGAAGGTCGGGATCGTCGTCACCTCGCCCGCCCTGGCCCGCGCGGTGCTCAAGGATCACGACGCCGCCTTCGCGAACCGCGACGTCCCCGCCGCCGGCCGGGAAGCCACATACGGCGGCAGGGACATCGTGTGGACCCCGCACGGCGCGGAGTGGAGGATGCTGAGGAAGATCTGCGTGCGCGAGATGCTCGGGAGCTCGGCCCTCGACTCTCTCCGCCACCTCCGGCGGCTGGAGGTCAGGCGGGCGGAGAGGTTCTTCCACGGCCAGGCCGGGCAGCCGGTGAACATCGGAGAACAGATGTTCCTGACCGTGCTCAACGTGATCACGGCCATGATCTGGGGCGGCACCGTGACGGCAGGGGAGAGAATCGGATTGGAGTTCAGAGAGATCGTCGGTGAAATGTCGGAGCTGTTAGGGTTTCCGAATGTTTCGGATTTTTATCCCAATTTGGCTAGATTTGATCTGCAAGGGGTCTGCAGAAATATGAAGGCTTTGGTTGCTAAGCTTGACGGGATCTTCGAGACTGTAATTGATCGGAGATTGGGAATGGAAGATGGGGAGAAGAAGGGTAATAAGGACTTTTTGCAGGTTTTGCTTGAGCTGAAAGATAGTGAAGGAGATGAGAAAACGCCTTTCACCATTACTCATCTCAAAGCCGTGTTAATGGTATGATTATCAAATCCAAAGACTTTTAATATGGCAATTTGGTTAATTTTTTTAATAGGATTGATTAATTTTGAAAATGGTAAAACCAAACATTGCGATAGAATAGTCTTTTCAACAAAACTACTCTTTTGACATTGGCTAACGAGTGTCAAATTACAACACTGGTCCATTTGAGCGCCATACGGTACTCCATTCATCTTCGAAGTTATTCCTCTCCCTCTAACTCTCCCCAAATCTGATACGGACCCAACATTAGACGAGGAGTTATCAGATACGCCCCCGGACGTTACTAGTCCTCCACAAGAAGCCCATGCGGAGTGTGATGATGATCGAGAAAAGGTCCAAGGGGCGGGATGACCAAAACGGACGACAAGACGACCTCAACGTTACGATGATTATGTTTAATATTTTTTCTTATGTTCCTTTTATATTTGTAACTTAGATTTTGTTAGGTGGACGAATTATAAGTCCCTTCAAGGGTTTTCTTTTCGGTTCTTTCCCTTGACGCTTTTCTTGAACNNNTGATACGGACCCAACATTAGACGAGGAGTTATCAGATACGCCCCCGGACGTTACTAGTCCTCCACAAGAAGCCCATGCGGAGTGTGATGATGATCGAGAAAAGGTCCAAGGGGCGGGATGACCAAAACGGACGACAAGACGACCTCAACGTTACGATGATTATGTTTAATATTTTTTCTTATGTTCCTTTTATATTTGTAACTTAGATTTTGTTAGGTGGACGAATTATAAGTCCCTTCAAGGGTTTTCTTTTCGGTTCTTTCCCTTGACGCTTTTCTTGAACCGATAGGATTAGGATTAGGGTTACTCTCCTATATAAAGAGAAGCCCCTTACTTTGTCAAAGAGGTCATAATACAAGGAATAGTTTAGAATTAGTCTCCTTCTCTCTTCTCCTTGCACGACAAAACCCCCAAGGACAACCCAACGTTGTCTCTTAGGGTTTCTTGTTCCTTCGCCGCCAAGTTTCTTTATCAACTGGTGCTCTCATTGCCGTTCTCAATACCGCTGTCATGTCGACTCCAACACCCGAGACTCCAGCCCAAGGCGCCATCACTATGGACGATCTCCTACAGGCCATCAACAATCTCAGCGCCGAACTACAAACGACGAAGGGCCAGGTGGCGGCGTTAGCGGCAACCGGTCCTCATGTTGAGCAGCGCTGGAACCGTCCGCCAGGGATGGGCTGGCGACCTCCACCTAACCGTCCTAACGGTGGGGCCAATACTGAGGCAATTCCACGCATGCGCGTGGAGGCGCCGCGATTCAACGGCGATGATCCGGCCGGTTGGATTTTTCGGATTCAGAATTATTTTGATTACTTTCTCACGCCAGATGTTGAACGCTTGCAATTGGTCGTTATGCTCATTGATTACCCGGCTTCCGATTGGTTTCGTTATTACCAAACCAATAATTGTGGTACGAGTTGGGAAGCGTTTTTTATTGCCGTACGACAGCGTTTTGACCCAGACTACTACGAAAATTACATTGGATCACTTTCTAAGTTGCATCAGACCACTTCTGTCATGGCATACCAAACTGCTTTTGAAACCATCCTCAACAAGATCTCGGGGGTTCCGGAACAAACCCTAATTGCCATGTATGTTTCCGGGTTACGTCCACCGGTTCAGCGAGAGGTTAATCTCCGCAACCCACGTACCCTTCAAGAGGCTTTTGGCTTGGCTCGTGAATTATCTGCGACTCACAATGAGTCGACTTCATTCCGTCGCCCGTGGCCTAACCGTCAGCCGGGTCTTGCATCGTCTGGTGTAGCGTCGACAAGCTCCCCCACGGCCACCACAGTCACCACAGGGCATCGGAGTTCTCCCCCTGCTCCTGCTCCGCCATTACCTGTCATCCGCGTCTCCCAGGCACAGAAGAATGAACGTAGCAAACGCGGGGTATGTTGGTATTCTGAGGAAAAATGGGCACCAGGTCACCATTGTAAGGGCCGTTTTCTCGCATATATGGGGCCTGATGATGAGGATCCTTCCGATGAAATAATGATGGACAGTTCTCCAGATGTCGATGAGGGAGTCATCTTGGCCGACGTCTCTAGTTTGCATTCCTTAGCCGGTAGCCCAAGCCCCCGCGCTTTGAAGTTGGTTGGGTCGATCAATACCCACGAGGTCCATGTTCTCCTGGACTCCGGTAGCACACACAATTTTGTCCACCCATCAGTGGCGGAACGCTTGGCGCTGGTCCTTCACCCGGTTCCCCCGTTTCGCGTCTATGTCGGTAACGGGGACTCGCTACGCTACGCCTACTCCTGCTCGCGCACGCCGCTGCTTTTACAAGGCACTCTCTTTGAGGTTGATTTATTTTTGCTGGAAATCCATGGGCCCGACGTCGTCCTCGGTGTTCAGTGGCTTCAGACTTTGGGGAAGGTATGCCACGACTACGCCAATATGACTATGGATTTTTGTTGGAACGGGTCAGCAATCACACTCCGGGGCAGTATACCCTCACCTCAACCTATTTCGTTTGGGCAATTGTGTTCCCTAGCCGCACAGATACCACTGCAATTCTTCGAATTGCTACCTGTAGAGAGCACGCACCAGCCACCAACAACGGACGCAATTGTGTTTCCCTCAGACATTCCAGAACCGGTCCGTACTGTTTTGGAGGCGCATGGGACTGTTTTTCAGCTTCCACAAACCCTCCCACCTGCGAGGACATGGGACCATCGCATTCATTTGGAGGCCGCATCAAAACTCGTCAATGTTCGGCCCTACTGTTATCCGTATTTTCAAAAAACAGAGATCGAACGGCAGGTCCGCGACATGCTCGAGCACGGTTTGATTCGTCCCAGCCGTAGTCCTTTTTCCTCTCCAGTGTTGCTTGTTCGAAAAAAGGATGGGTCGTACCGCTTTTGTGTCGATTACCGTGCCCTCAATGCCGTTACCATCCCGGATCACTTTCCGATTCCCACCACCGATGAGCTTTTTGATGAATTGGGCCACGCACGAGTCTTCACCAAACTCGATTTACGGTCAGACTATCATCAGATCCGGATGCATGACGCAGATATCTTCAAAACAGCTTTCCGAACACATGAGGGTCACTATGAGTTCCTTGTTATGCCTTTTGGCCTCACAAACGCCCCATCCACATTCCAGGCCGCCATGAATGAATTGTTTCGGGCTTACCTTCGGCACTTCGTCATCGTTTTCTTCGACACCATTCTAATATATAGCCCGACGATTGCCAGCCACGCCGAACATCTACGGGTGGTCCTTCACACCCTTCAGACAAATTCGTTCTTCGTCAAGCTCTCCAAATGTGCCTTTTGCCAAACCACAATTGAATACTTGGGGCATGTGGTCACGGCTGGCAATTTGCAGCCCGACCCGTCAAAGATTGAGGCCATGATCGCTTGGCCGCGACCCTCGTCCGTCACCCAACTCCGTGGTTTTCTGGGCCTCACTGGCTATTATCGTCGGTTCGTCTCCGGGTATGCTATGTTGGCCGCCCCCCTCACAGATCTCTTAAAGAAGGACAGCTTCGGGTGGAATGCCGAGGCGGAATCCAGTTTTACCCAACTAAAACAAGCAATGGTTACGGCGCCGGTGCTCCAACTTCCGGACTTTGGGCAAACCTTCTACTTAGAAACCGATGCTTCGGATATAGGTATTGGGGCAGTCCTGCTACAGCGCGGTCATCCCTTGGCATTTTTTAGTAAGAAATTAGGACCACGGCGCCAGGCGGCATCCACATACCACAAGGAGTTATACGCCATCGTGGAAGCAGTACAAAAATGGCGGCAGTACCTCCTTGGACGGGAATTTGTGATCCGTAGCGATCAACGGAGTTTGAAAGATCTTCTTGGCCAAGTGATTCAAACCCCGGAACAGCAACTTTACATACGGAAATTAATGTAGTTCAAATTCCGAATTGAATACAAATCGGGCGCGTCGAACCGCGTGGCCGACGCACTGTCACGCCGGGAGTCACCCGACCCTATGGCAACCACGGACCCAGCCACGCTCTTTATGGCCTTGGCGCAACCCCTCCCGCTGCTACTAGATGACCTTCGTCGAGATAATGCAGAGTGTGCACATTGCAGGGACCTCCACTCGGCCGTATCTGCCGGGACAGCTCCCCCGCACATCACAATCCACAACGGGCTGTTATACTACAAACATCGCCTCTACATCAGCCCTGAATCGCCACTACGCCACACATTGCTCCACGAGTTTCATAGTACCCCTCTAGCGGGGCACCAAGGGGTTGACAGAACCTTCAAACGCCTTGCAGAGGTCTTCTATTGGCGCGGGATGCGTCGCGACGTTCGACAATATGTGGCCGCCTGTGTCCCCTGCCAAATTACAAAATATTCTACACAGAAGCCTGCCGGGTTTCTACAGCCGCTCCCTATCCCGGAACGCGTGTGGGACTCCGCTTCTATGGATTTCATAACAGGATTGCCGTCCTCACGTGGGTACACGGTCATCATGGTCGTGGTGGACCGTCTATCTAAGTATGCTCACTTTGGTATGTTACCCACAGGTTTTGACGCCCCAAAGGCCGCGCACGTGTTCACTGACATTGTGGTGAAACATCATGGGTTTCCCACAGCGATCGTGTCAGATCGCGACGCCATCTTTATGAGTGCTTTTTGGCGCGAATTGATGAAAGGTAGCGGTACCGCGCTAAAGTATAGCACTGCGTATCACCCTCAAACAGATGGTCAGACCGAAGTCATGAATCGCAACCTCGAACAATATCTCCGGGCTTTCACTTTCGAACGACCGAATCGTTGGGCCACTCTCCTTCCCTGGGCAGAATTGGCCTTTAATTGCGGTCACCATGCAGGCCTTAACATGTCACCCTACCAAGCTTTGTACGGGTGACCACCTCCACATCTTTTCCCTACTTTGTCTACTCGTGCTCGCACCCTCGCGGTTGAAGAACTATTACGCGAGCGGACAGAAGTTTTGGAAGATATCCGGCGCAATCTTACCAAAATGCAACAACGCATGCGCGAGCGTGCGAACCTACACCGCCGCGACGTCGTTTTTGAGGTGGGTGATCATGTGCTCCTTAAGCTCCAGCAGTTCCGTCAGCACTCTCTAGCTCGTCCACGTTCGGCCAAGCTTGCCCGCCGCTACTATGGTCCGTTCGAGGTGGTCGAGCGCGTCGGCCCAGTGGCTTATCGCCTATCCTTCCTGAGGGTTGCCGCATTCATGACGTCTTCCATGTATCCTTACTCCGGCCATTTCACTCTGGGCAACAGCCACTGCCCACTCCCTCTCTTCCAGCAACTGTTTTGCGCGGACGGGTGGTGGGGGTGCCAATTTCCGCAGGGCAGCGTCGCACGGTGCTTATCAACGGGAAGCCGCAGGAGCAATGCCTCGTCCGTTGGTCCGATGATGACGGAGCAGTGCCTACTTGGGAACCCGTCGAGCACCTTCAGCAGCATTTCCCAACTCTCGACCTTGAGGGCAAGGTCGTTTTCATCCCCGGGGGAGTTGATACGGACCCAACATTAGACGAGGAGTTATCAGATACGCCCCCGGACGTTACTAGTCCTCCACAAGAAGCCCATGCGGAGTGTGATGATGATCGAGAAAAGGTCCAAGGGGCGGGATGACCAAAACGGACGACAAGACGACCTCAACGTTACGATGATTATGTTTAATATTTTTTCTTATGTTCCTTTTATATTTGTAACTTAGATTTTGTTAGGTGGACGAATTATAAGTCCCTTCAAGGGTTTTCTTTTCGGTTCTTTCCCTTGACGCTTTTCTTGAACCAATAGGATTAGGATTAGGGTTACTCTCCTATATAAAGAGAAGCCCCTTACTGTGTCAAAGAGGTCATAATACAAGGAATAGTTTAGAATTAGTCTCCTTCTCTCTTCTCCTTGCACGACAAAACCCCCAAGGACAACCCAACGTTGTCTCTTAGGGTTTCTTGTTCCTTCGCCGCCAAGTTTCTTTATCAAAATCCTCCATCCCCAACTTGCTACCTACACATCACTTCAGTCCCTAGCCATTCCCCCTAAATTAGGTTGAGGATGGGTTAAGGGATAAGAACAAATTCGAAATCGAGCAGAGACTACTGTAGGATGTTTAAATGGATTATGTCATATCATGACATTAGTAGCCAACGTCAAATGAATTTCTCTACATTTTTAAAACACTGAAGCTAAACATTGTATCTATTGCCGAAGACACACATTGTTTTGTCCAATCTAGATCAATGTTCCCACATCGAAACATTATAAAAATAGTTACGAGTTAGTAAGATTTTGAATTGAATTAGATAAGTTATTAGATTCAATTTTTTTATATGATTTGATTGGTCTGTTATTGGACAATTGAATAGAACGCTTATATGAGTTCTATCTTTGATCTTAGACCCTTAGTTCCTATGTGATATAATGATGAAACGACATTCTCTCACATAATTAGATTAATAAAAAATAAATTAATTAAATTATGGAGTAAATGTTCATCTTAACTCTTAGCATTTTGAAAATGCTTATGTAACTATGAAGTAGGTCTCTAAAATCTTAGAGACCTTGAATTCTACTAATTAAAAAAACACTTAATGCTCACTAACAACGTAACTTAAAGCCAATAGCTCAGCCATGAGTTTGAACTTTTAGTTAAGACATACCACAACACATCTGGAACTTTTGCTTGGTGTTAACAGGATATGGTCGTTGGCGGAACCGAAACAACCGCAAACACCTTGGAGTTCGCGATGGCCGAGATCATGAAGCAACCCGAGGTCCTAACAAAGCTACGGGACGAGCTAGACAACATAGTGGGAAGAGACAACATAGTTGAGGAGTCTCACATTCATCACCTCCCATACTTGCAAGCCGTGATGAGAGAAACCCTCCGTCTCCACCCCGCCCTGCCCCTCCTGGTCCCACACTGCCCCAGCGAAACCCGCACCGTTGGGGGGTACGCGGTCCCCAAAGGCACCCGCGTGTTCGTGAACGTCTGGGCGATCCAGAGGGACCCGCGTGTTTGGGAAAACCCTCTCGAGTTCAGGCCCGAGAGGTTTTTGGAGGGTGACAAGAAATGGGATTTCAGTGGAAGGGATTTTGAGTATCTGCCGTTTGGTTCGGGGAGAAGGATCTGTGCTGGAGTAGGGTCGGCTGAGAGGATGTTCATATATGCACTTGCCACCATGATTCATTCCTTTGATTGGAATCTTCCTGGAGATGCAGAGGAATTAGAGCTTTCAGAGAAGTTTGGGATTGTGTTGAAGAAGAGAGTTCCTCTGGTTTTAATCCCCACTCCGAGGTTGTCTCCCTCAAGACTCTATGAGTAAGGTGTGTAAGTATTGGTGTTAATCCAAGATTTTAGTATTTGTAAGTTTAAAGCCAAAATAGTTTTATGAGAAACTTTATGTTGTAAAATTTTTACTATATGAATAATCATCACTCAAATAGGATGAAGTTTGAATTTAGACTTAGCAAAAAATGACCCGATCTGTTTATGACCCAAGATCCGACCCCAAAAAATTAGGTTTTGAACAAAGATGACCTGAAATGATCAAACCTGAAATGACCTGCTAAAAATGGGTCAAACCCAACCAAATTCAAACTCGACCTGACCAATAATTTTAATATGAAATATAATGTTATAAGTATAAGATTATAATTATATTTCTTTCCTTACTACTCATTTTTATTGTATAAATTTATATTTTCATTCAAAATTTTAATGATATCACATAATCATCTTACTTATTTTCAAAATTTCTACATATTTGCTTCTTTTTCTTAATATTAACATTGAGTCATAAAAATTACTTCAAATTTCAAAAAATAAATAAATTAAAGGTTATAACTCGTTGGGCCAATCCAAAACTGATTATACTAGCCATGAATATGTAGTTCTCAACCTGAACCCAAAAACAAAATAACTAGAACCCAAAGTAACCGATCTTGAATTCGATCTGACCGGCCGATTTGTCAGCTCTAAGTTTGATTGTATAACTCATTTTGTTGATCATCTTTATTTTGAGACGGATGAATTATGATAGCAGTATTGCATATGGATTTGAAGAGCCCGCCTTGAATGTGTGTGAGATGTAACCCATGCATCGGCACGAGCCTTGTAGTTTTATCTTTTTCTTTCTTTTTTTGTTTTTGAAGGAAACATGATCTTTAGGATTCGTTTGGTAGTTTTAGAGATATATAATTAATAAGATATATGTATTGAAATTTATAAGAAATGATATCAGTTTTTAATTTTGAAACAAAAATGATTGGAAATAACTGAAATCAAATCATAATAATAATTGTTTGGTTAATAATTAAGAAGCCAGTATGGGAAGGTCATTTTTTTTAGAAGAAACAAGTTTTTCAAAATTCTCTATTTATACGAAACAGGGAAATTCCAAATGTTTTTTTTAGAAGAAACAAGGATAAAGGGCCTGTTTGGGAATAGCGTTAGAAATTAGCGTTAGCGTTTTGGATAAAATTTTAATGGTGCAGATTACTTTGAAAACGTTAACGCTAAACGTTGTCCATAGATAGCCTTTTTAAAACGCTAAGGCTAATCGCTAACGCTATTCCCAAACAGGCCCAAAAGTGTACAACTTTATCATAACTAAGTGCTCCATAATTGTTTGAAAAAAAATCCTACTTAAATAATGTTTAACTATAAGTGGTTGTTGCACTTTGTGTGATACACTTGTAACATATTTTCGTTCCAATTATGTCTAATTTCATTGTAGTGACCCTACCATACAACGTGTTTATTAATTATTTAATTTATTTAAGAGAAAAATCTTTGATATCAATTCACAACAATATCAGATTTTAAAGATAGGAACTTAGAGATTATTTTTTAAGGTCGAGAAAAAAAGAACTAAACGTTGGAAGAAAAAAGAAAGAAACTTGTAAAAACTAAAAGGAATTGAAGGAAACTGAAAGCAACAGCATTGCCCAGTGGCAACAGATCTAGGTCGATTTTATTAGTGGAAAACTAAATTTGGAATATGCATTTTCCATACAAAAATCGTCATCGTCTTGTTTCAAGAGAAATTTAAACATTCATTTTAAGGGAATTCTACAATGTACAATGACTGCCGATGGACGTTGCGCACTTGGTAAAGACAAAAAGTGTCAAGGGAGTAGACATAAGTTTGATTCTTTGTAACTGCACTAGAAGCCAATCATGCTAAGACTAAGAGGTGTGCAAGTATTAGATACGAGCTCTAATGTCTATTACTAAACTGTGATTAAAATCTAATTAATCATCTGATCGGACCTGAAGAGACCCTCAAATTCATGTTTTACAATCATACAATGTACTATGACTATGCAAACAAATCATTAATTATTGGATTTAAAAAATCATTAATTATTGGAAGAAAAAGAAACACACTTTGTGCCTTTGTGGCTTTGTGCAATGTGTCTCTGTCTCAACTCTTAACCCTTTTCCCCCCTCTCTCTCTTTCTGCCATGAACTCCCTTTCACTCCGACAAAAAACCCAAAACATCCTGGTTGTCAGTCTTAAACTCTGATACATCCTCTGAACGAGGAAAACCCAGAAATGATTTCACATCTTGTTTGCATGACCACTCTGTTCCTCGGACTTTCTTGCCTGCAACCTGTTCGTGCAAATGCCGAGCTGGGCGCTTTAATGGAGATGAAGGCCTCCTTGGACCCAGAGAACAAGATTCTCTCTTCATGGACCAGAGATGGCGATCCGTGCAGCGGGTCGTTTCTGGGAGTGGGCTGCAACGAGCACCGGAAGGTGGGCAACATTTCCCTGCCGAGCAGGGGTCTCGCCGGAGAGTTGTCGCCGGCGGTGGCGGAGCTCAGGTGCTTGTCCGGTCTCTACTTGCAGTTCAATAAGTTGAGTGGTGAGATTCCCAGAGAGATTGGGAATCTCACTGAGTTGACTGATCTGTATCTTGATTTCAACAATTTTTCTGGGATTATACCTTCTGAGATTGGAAGAATGGTTAGCCTTCAAGGTCAGATTTTTATTTTTAATCTTCAGATTCTTTGGTATTTCACAAAGAAAAACTCTCCATTTATTTGATCTATATGTGAACCATTATTCTTGTTAAATTTGTTCTTGTTAAATTTATACTTCATCAGCTCCCAAAATCATATCTTGCCACTTTTGGTTCCAAAATCATTTTATTAACTTTTCTGGAAATTTATAAAATTCCACTCTACATAAATAATAAATTCTTCATAGATCTTATTAAACAGTTTCTCTATCTGAAAATTTTCTCCTTGTTTGATCTTTTATGGTCTTCAAAATATGTGACCACTTTCTGCTTAATTGCTTATATATAGATATACACTCCGTATTAGGATATTTCAAAACTATATTTCAAAATGAATATATGGATATTCAACTTATATCATAACACGTGTTAAAAAAAAATTAGTCCGTATATCATAACACAATGTATTTTTTTCATATATTGTTATCGAAGTTTGAAAACGTTAAGCTGATGGTTCCGAATATATCTTAATTTACATATTTTAAAAATACCCATTTGCTGTGATATTTTGTAAAATACATATGCTTGTCACAAGTCAGATAAATTATTGAAAGTGGTTGAATTTTGTTGCCTTTTTCTAATTAAAATAAAGGTAAATTTCCTGCATACTTTTTTATTTCTTTCATTTTCCGAATAATAACACATTTCAACGTAATGGGTCAACCTACTCTTGAGCTCTTTAAAGTTTTACCATAATCATATGGAAAGATCATTTTAATACAGAATGACAAATTGGGTTGCAAAGTTATTCTCAGATGGACATGCTATCATATGAAAAAATATATTCTTTTTTAAAAAAATAAAAATTTTGTGGATTCTTTTTTGGTCAAACTACTTTAAAGGAAGGGTTGAAAATGATCTGCCCATGATGCTGTAGTGGTGGCTGCATTGAGTGAATGCTGACTTATCTATATAAACATTTACTGATATTTAGAGCATATTTATTTAAGTCAAAGAAAAAATATTTTGTGTAGGGCTGGTCTTAAGTGTGTGCAAGATGTGTATCCCCATGGAGTACCCAATTTTGTAGATATTCACTATTCTCACTATTTGAAATTTTTTAAATTTTTTTTTGAATATATAAACATATATTTCATTGTTAAAGTTTTTCATAGTCAAAGGAGACGGGGACAGGTATTTATACGGAGACAGGGAAACACCAAGTTTTTCCAAATTTTACAAAGAATTTGGGTGTCGGGACATCCCAGGACGGAAAGTGGCACTTGTTTGATGAATCCGTTCAGTAAAAAATACTCTATTATAAACAAAAAGTAAAAAAGTAATGTACAGTACTTTTTTTCAATACAGTACTTTATTTAGTTTTGATGATATTGTGGTTTATATCAGTGCTGCAGCTGAACAACAACCAGTTGACAGGCTCCATACCCCAAGAGATTGGGTTCTTGAAGAAGCTCAGTTATATTGCTTTGGAACACAACATGTTAACAGGTCAGATTCCAGCAAGCTTTGGAACTATGGCACTGCTAAAAGAAGTTTATTTCGGCTTCAATCAGCTCTCCGGTCCGATTCCTCCCAGCTTGGCTAGTTCTCCTTCATTGGAGGTTCTTGATGTTCAAAATAACAACTTTTCCGGCCCCATTTCTCCCGGTTAGTTCCATTCATCACTCTGTACTTTTGTATCTGAACCAGAGGTTTCTTGGAAACAGTCTTTCTACTTTCAAGTAGGGATAATAATGTTTGCGTACACTCACCCTCTCTAGACCTTACTTTGTGTGGGATTTTACTGGGTTTGTTGTTATTGTTATTGTTATTGTTCCGTTCATCACTTGTTTCTTATGAACCAAATTTGAAGGCTTACAAAGGCTCAATGGAGGAGGATTCAAAGGAGGAAATAACCCCAATCTATGTGGGGTTGGAGTTTTGTCATTGAGAAATTGTACGGCGTTGGATTATGAGGGGAAGGTTGATCCGGGCGAAGGGTTGGTGCCCCTAGCCGTTAACATTCCCAAGGCAGCAAACGTTCTCTCGCATTGCAAACACCACTGCTCAAGTCCGTCCAAATCCCTCATACTCATCATTGGGGTGGTCTCAGCCACCATCTCACTGTTGGGCATGGGGATTTGCATTGCGTTCGTCTACCGGTGGCGCAGGCAGAAAGTGGGGACCACCGGCGATGAGTCCGAGGATAAGAGGCTTAACGCGGATCAACCAAAGGAATTGCCCCGAAACCTCACCCCTCTCATCAGCCTCGAGTACACTCAAGAGTGGGACCCAATGACGACCACGGACGCGACTGCCAAGTTCAACGTGGAGGAAGTCGAGTCGGCGGCCCAGCATTTCTCCGATGCGAATTTGCTAGGGAGGAGCAACTTCTCGGCGGTCTATAGGGGAATCCTCAAGGACGGGGGCGTGGTCGCGATTAAGAGCATAAACCTCACGGCTTGCAAGTCCGAAGAGGCCGAGTTCATGAAGGGATTGAACTTGATAACGTCGTTGAAACACGACAACCTCATCAAGTTGAGGGGCTTTTGCTGCTCCAAGGGGAGGGGAGAGTGTTT